TTTCTGCTTACAAATCCTCGTGTGTGCCTTACGATTGTGTATATTGTTGAGAATCGTAGAAACAAAATATTCAACGAAACAATTTCCATAGTCAGACAAATAAAAAATACAATCAGGCTGTTGAACCTCCCCATCTCTTAGGGTAGTTTTTAGAAATTTTTAGTTGTTTGCCTTCACAGTTCTATTTGACGATTTAAAAATTGAATAACCAAATAATCCACATTACTAGCTTACCACGTTGTAGGGGTTGCGTGATTTAGAAGGGCGAATGACATAGAGAGAGTTATGTGGTCTAGACATGGCCAAAGATTGTGAAGGTACGTCAGGTGAGCGAAAATAGAACAATGTAAACAATATGTATATAACTTCACTTGTGCCTTGGAGGACTAGAATCTAAAAATACACTCAGGCGAAAGAAAGGTGAATTTTTCGACGAAAATATCTTTGATCAATGTTGTTATATCAGAATTGCTCTAGTTGTAGAAAACAGAGTGGAACATAAATAATAAATATGGGTAGCTAAATGGTTTTAGTGACAGTCTAACAACCAGAAGGTAGTTAAACCACAATAATTAAATCCCAGCAAATGTTATGTTAAATTTGTTATTATATAGGAGACATAGCTTGAATAATCCTCTTTCCATGGCTCCCCCCCCACGGACTTCACCCAGTTCATAAGTATCAATAAACATTTTTTTTTTCTTAAGTTAAGCTGAAATAAACAAAACAGAATACTGCAATATAGACAAATAATCACACCTGATTTTAATAAGGTAATAAATTGAAAGAATAACAAACAAATAAGTACATCTTGACCCAGCTGTCCTAGATAATGCTTTCATTATTGATTCTAATTTCAATAAACAACAAACCTATAACCTCATTATTTAACAATAATCTGTAACTTATTTTTGCCTCTAACTACGCACACAGGTGCAACGGGACCGTAGTACATAAATAAATAAACTATACAACTTCCTCTAATAGAATAAAATCAGCACAAATTGTTTTGTTAGACCAGATCACTAGGTTATGTCTCAATCCTACAATCAGATGTTGTTCCTAGACTATCAGGTGTTTGCGTGTTTTGCCGCCATTTTACCTCCCGGTGATATCCTTGCTAAATATATCCCTCCAATTTGACCCTCGAAATCCCATTTCATTCGGTAATCGGGTCTGCATGAAAAAGAGAAGCTGATATGAAACTATACTCTATTATTCTATCTATATGCCTTCAAAATGGCATGCAATTTAAATTTATTTGTAACATCTCGTATCTACTAGTAATCAAATAGATGTTTTGAGAAAACGTAAAATAGCTTGAAATCTACTTACATTCAAACAAAATCGATAATCAGACTAATCTCACACTGAAATGCTCACTCCCAAATAAGTTTTGTTATTCAAAGTTAGGGGTTTTCAACTCTAAAAATATTGTTTGGGCTTTATTTAAATTTAAATACCTATCTTTAACCTTATTGGTTATTTGTGTATCAGGCAGAAATTTGTTTTATAGAAACGTCTCTAAATCATCAAAGCCTTGAAAATTCTTTATTATTTAACTAAACCTGCCTTAGTTCCTACAGCACACTCCGGTTCAAACGACCTCGGTTCAACCGACGATCGGATTAACCACCTCTTTAAAAAAGGTCGGGTTTTCCACCCTGAATTTAAAAATAGTTCGTTTAACTGAGATTTTTTAGAAATAAAAAGCACCTTTCCTTCCAAGGTAGCCAAACCATCTATTTGTAGAAGTATGAAAAAATCGCTCTAAAGGTTTGCTAATGTTAATGCTAATGAATGCGTTGCGTGATGTAAACCTACGATATGATCAAGAACTTCTTACAACACTTAACATTTACACTTTGTTAGGCTACAAATAACACGACGTTTTAAGTGCTTTGTAACACGATATGAGTTTACTATGCAAAACGGCGATTACTTAACAGCTTTTTTGAAATGTCAGGGTTGGTTAGTGATTTACATTTGCTATTTTAATCAGTTCTATTACATTTTACTCATCATTGAACTCTGTCACTCTGGCCACTTCAAAAATTTCAGAAATTCTTTTCTTGACTGGCAATTAAATTTAAAATTAAAACGTTACCAATATTTTAACGAATTTTTATTTTAAATTTAATTGCCAGTGAGGCATTATCAAATGCGTCAAAAAATCTCAAAAGGTTATGTTTATGTATGTTTTAGCAATTTAAGCTATACAAATTAAAAGACCACAACTTAACATTTCCGTGCTAATACAGTGAAACCTCAATAACAAGACAGGTGGAATTTTCAAAATACCCTTGATATATATGTAGCATGTGTTAATTCAAACCTCGATAAGGAGTCTACTTTGATAAAGTCGTATTTGGCAATCCCCTTGAGAGACTCGTTACTGAGGTTCTTCAGTAGTTGTTGCTGCTTAAAACGTATAAAATTTTATAAACACATCTTTAATAATATAAGAGATGTATACATTTTGAAATCTTAAAAAAATAACAGATATGTCCTAAAGCTGCAAAAAGGCTATTCTTGATTTCCGTTTTATTTTCACCCATAAAACCATTTCCAGGAGTTTGGCTGTTTACTTATAGGACACTCTGTATATTTAACCCTCACTGTAGCATAACTAATTCAAAGGTTATATATTATGACTGTTACTGTTTTCCATCCAGAGTAAAAAGTACATGTTTAACACGCTTTTATGTTGATTGTTAATGTATTGTTTCAGAACTGTCGTAATGCTTGTGCAGATTTGACGCTTCTATGTTCAAGCTACGAAATTCATTATTTTTTCATGTCTTATTTTTTATTTTAAGGGAATTGCTAGAAAAATTTCTGAGAAAGTCTGTTTCCCCTTAAAAAAATCCTCTAAGATTCTTACTAAACTTTCTAGGTGCAGTTGTTTTTCCCTCCAGTAAGTTCAATATTATCCCCAACTCCCGCGGTGCTGGCAGGAACAGCTGATTGCATGATAAAGCTCCGTTACCTCCAGTGGTAACTTTGCTGTTTATTTCTTTCTAATCTAACCAAGATAGCGAATTCGAAAAGGAAATTACATTATGCAATTGGAACCAACATTGAAGAAAACTAGACAACTAACTATAAGCTGTACTTTTTATGGAAACTACAAAATAACTCCTTGAGTTATTTTTAGAATCCTAATGTATGACATTATTTTTTAAAGGTTATAATATAACTACTGTATTATTATTATTCCTTATTATGCATCATTTGTTCAAAATGATGGTGCAGTTACCATCCTCGATACAATTGTATTTCGTTCTTTGTAGGTCCTTCCAAACACAGACGGGAAATATTTAAATTAAAAAAAATAATCTGATTCACTTTATGTTACTTAACCTAAATATGTTATGTTATTCGTGTCTAATTAAACTACTTAAGCACTGATTTTCCCAAAATAAATTCTGACAGGATATAGCATGAGAATCTTGTTGAAGAGTGTATTTTGCTTCCAACTAATACAGCACAGTTATCAATTTTAATAAGTAACGCTCTAGACCATAGGTTGTGGAGTAATTAGCTAGACATTCTGCAATATAAGAAAGAGATGATTCATTATGTCATTATTATTTTTTAATAAGAGAATATTTCACGTATATTGACACAAAATTAACTATTATTTCCTACTAGTTTTGTACGACACGATACGAGAAATGATAAAGTGTATTAGATAATATTTAAAATAGTAGACAAGGTTTGTTCGATTCTGAGATGTGTTTTACGAGTAAAATATTTCGTTTGTACTTTTGGATTCCTAATTTTAATGAAATTTGCCTTTAATATACCAAAGTTTTTCGTACAGTTTTGTACAATTTGGACGGGAAATCCAGCGACATAAAATCCTTAGCCGTCTTGATGAGAGCTGTTGAGATAAGAGGCAGTTTATGTCCGTGCGACATGAAGCCTAGGAACGTATTACTTGGGGCCACGCTAGATTGGCCGCCCTACTGCACTGTCTACATTTCTTTGGCAAATTCTGTATTTTTAAATACAATAAGGATTATCATAAGAACCTTTTATTGGGCCCGACGCTGTATGTCCCCTCCTACTGCAATGTCTACATTTCTTTGGCAACGGTGTACCTTCTGTACGTGAAGGCGTAGGATCGTGTTTTTTAGGACCATACTAGATTGGCCCTCCCAACTGCACTTTCTACATGTCTGTGGCACTCTTGTATTTTTGTAGTCTACATGAAGGACAATATTAATATTGGGACCACGTGATAGATTGACCTACCTACTGCTCTGTGTAGATTTCTTTTGCAACACCATAATGTCTGTTTTTGTCTTTTAAGACTATAATAAAAACTGTGATAAACGGTATCAGCAAATTGACATTTACTTGCACCCATAGCCTTTTCAACCCCTCTTATAATGGAAAAACGTTGGGATTAACGTATGGGATTAACTGTGGTGTTTTAATATTGAATGTACAAGAATTGCAATAACTTTTGAACCGTAATTTTTACAGCATTGGGGGTTTTACCGTTTTGAACAAAGGTAAAAGTACAATAGCTTACCAGATTGTTCCAAATTAAATTAAAAACGTTCCAGCCCTTTTTGTATAAATCCGTTATTTTATTCTGTTATTCACGTGTTTTATGGAGAAATTACCATCACAAATAACACAAAAAAAGAAAAACACCTGGATACATCACGCTGCAAATCACTTCTTTGAATTCAGGGTCACCCAAAACGGATATTTCCACTCCAAATTCTAACTCGAGAAGTTCAACGAAAACAATAATTTCTCCACACACTATGTGTAGGGGTTCGGAAATTTTTAAGAGAAGAATAATTTCTCAAGAGTCAACTTTAAATAGAGTAGGGTATGAATAGAAAAATTAAAATTGTTTAATTAAAATAGGGGATGTAGACTTGTGATTTCCTGCAAAGGTCAATTTACAAAAAAGGATTCAGAAATTTCATTAGATTAATTCTGAAATCTTAAATCCAAAATATATAAGAACAGATTACCTCTTTGATGATAGAGTGAGGGTGGGGAACTGCTTTGTCTGATGATGATCTTGACAGCACCATGGTAGTGTTGGATCGCACTACGGGCCTCACTACACCTGGAACATGATTTGGTGAATCAGGTAGAGTCAAAACATGAATGTTTAGTGTTTGTTTTCACTTACTCCATGGACATGAGTCCCTAGCTTGTTCTCGTCCTCAACAACGTGCAACAAATGATTCCTATCTCGGAATCGTGATGTCATCCAATCCACCCTAGGTAGACGATGCTCTCTGTGTCTTCTTTTGGCTCGGTCCTTCCGAGGATTTTTGGTATGCTTCGCGGCCGGCTTACAACAGGATCCCTACTCCACATTTGGCAAGACATGAAATCCCTCCTTCGGCTAATCTCTTCTGGTGGTAATTTAAAATTAAAATTTACCAAATTATTAAACGATGTTCACAAATTGCATTTTTCGTCAGACGAACAAACCCTAAAAGACTTTCAAGCTTCAACTACTTATCGATCTTGGCATTTTCAACTTTTTTTACCAGCCAGAGTTGGTAAAAATTGATAATATGGGTATTTTCTAGTGTCAATACAGACTAGGTAATCGATTTGTTTTTAACAACACAATACATAGGTGAACAACAAGTTAGGCCTACTTGTTGATTTACAAATTTCCGAGCGTTGATGCTCTAACCTAACTTAACCGATGCGAGAAATATAAAACGTTATTATAATACAACTGATATACCATGTCAGAAGGGTGCGCTTTATAGATGAAAGCGGGTAGAAGCCTATGTTGTAAAACCGATCACAATAATCATGTTACACCCTCAATTAATCACTGTCAGACCATTAACCGTTAATAATGAACGAAAATAAACACTTATAGGTTATAGAAAAGTGTAGTGACATATTATTATAACAGATTCAAGTATTTTTCGATATAAACTAGTTTAAAATAATCTCAAAAACATACAACCGCTGTGACGTCATAGCAACACGAGCGAGCATGGGGCGTTCTAGCAGTGAATCCAATTGAAATTGGATTAAACCGGTGCATTGTGTTGAAGTAGGTTAGACTATTGATATGCAAGCCTGAGTCCCGCCAAATCAACAATCAGCTGATATTCGCGTGGCCAGGTTTGCCAACTGTTGCACCACAAATTACCTTGGCAGACTCGCTTTCGTAGTTAATTACCTCGTAACTCCATCAGCATACATAAAAGCTACAAAGTTGCCAGAGGTTTTGATTGATTTTTATAATATGTTAGATACTTTTAGATTAAATTTGGTGATTTTAAAGGGGTGTTTCGTAAAGTGGTGAATTAAAAACGTCTTAAGAAAAAAAATCACCAAAGGAATATCTCTATCAGAGGACCAAGGTCTGATTCCTCGATCAGCATGTAGCATTTATTCATTACTTGACTAAAAAGTCATCGATACGATTCAAGATTTGTGTGTAACGTCGAACATTTATACATTTCATTGCTCTCAGTGTTATTATCGCCAAATTTTCTAGTTGTATGTAACACGTATACTCGATAAACATTTAACATTGATACATTTATCGATCTTTATAAAAACAAAAGTTTTCAGCCACTCTAAGTAATCTGACTAAAAACCAACGGCATCTTTCAAGCTTCATGTTTATAAATGATTTTTCGTCATACTGCAGCACAATTGCCGTTTTCAATACACCCGGTCTAAAGTAGCTTTTCCCCCTAGGGAGTAAAAAGCCTTTAGTCCCTAGAGAGCAAGAATCAGCTATTGTAAACTTTGATTCGACATATCGATGGTATAATGAACACTAACAAAACCATAATTTATTGACTAATGATTAATTCACTTACTTACTTGTTTCCACATGCTTGTTTGCATTAGGAAGATTGAAAACAAGTCAAAAGTCGTTCTGGGAAGTTATCTTTCCTAGCTTAGTTTGTTATATTCATTAGGCCTACTCGAGCAAAAAGTGTCTTTTCAACCTTCGCTCATTTTGTGTTAAACTTGCGCTCGGGTAAAAAAGACTTTACGCCCATGTGAAGAAATACTATATCCATAATAGCCATGTGTTATTCGTTGAAGCGATCCAAATAAGCACAGTTACCTTATGGACTTATAAGTAAATATTCAAGCCAAAATATTTGCCAGTACAAATGCTTACAAACAGCATTCCATGCTCTGTACTCACATATCATGCTCATATCCAGGGCCAACCCGTAAACCTATCGCTTTACCGCTTGGGCTTTCGGACGTCTTATACGTTTACATCACGCCACAAGAGCATTTGAATGCGACCAATCAGATTTCACTACTTGTAGCTCCAAAAGTCCTCTCATAGCAGTTTTAGTACTATCCAGGAAGTTTTCAATCATTAACTTTTCTCGAAAACTCTGTGTTCGAGCGAAACGAGGGAAATATCGGTTGGAAAAAGAAAAGCTTGCTTGAATCTTCGTAGCTGACCGCAAACATAATAAACTGCTGAAGCATGGAATTTGTGTGTTGAAATAATGAGAAAATACTTGGGTACGGAGCTTTGCTCAAGTATACTCTGAGAACAGTCTTGGCTAATGACAAACGTCGAGCCAGCGATTCGTCGACGCTCCTGCTCAAGATGATCGGTCTGTTGTTCATTATATTGCACGGCCATAAAAAAGATTAAAACTTATTTCTCTGCTTTCATTTATCATTCTTCGATGGGCAACTTGGCCGAGGTTTCTGGTTGGAACTGGGTTGGTTGTAGACGAAGTGGTAAAATTTGTTTCCTGACGATCCATTGTAGCTTCTCTCCCTTAAAGGTTCGCTTCAGAGGTCTCCACGTTTCATTCCAAACGAACCTTGAAAAAATTAACACTCATTTGTTCCTGATAAACCAAACTAAATATAGCTAGTCTTAAAAACTTTTAGTCCAAACTAACCAATACAGTTATTTTCGTTAACACAAATTATGACAGTAAAAATAGCCTGTATCAGCTGTTTTTGTTAACTACAGCTACAAAAAGGTATCGACTATAACATGGACACTTTCAAGGGCTGTAGGACAGAAACTGGATTTTTCCGAGCCTTGTGATCAACTTGTGGCCTCGATTTTTCGTGGCCAAATACCCTATTGTAAACGAAAAACTCAAACATTCTCGGACATAAAAACGTTTGCCCGCCGGGTGTACAGGCAAACGCACCCACATGTTTTTAAGTATAGGATAGGGCATAGTGATGTAATTATACATTGTCTAAGCACATTCTATGTCCATATTGTTCACAGAATTGGGGTTTCAGTAAATCAGAAATTGACAGCAGAGAATAAACTTGTAAAAGTGATTCCTATCCAATTTTTATATAGGTCAGGTAAAATATTAACAAATATTTTTGATAAAATAGTAGTACCGTAACATCTTACTTAAAGTCTAGCTTAACATATCCTATATTGCCTTCCAAACATGTGAGGTGCTTACTTTTGATTACTTTAGAAAAACCCGTTAAAATTGCATTCGAAATTATTTCCTCAGCAATCCCCGAACGCGGACGTTGCCGAAGTGATCAATATATTCAATATTTATGAAACTCCCTTCAAATCCCATGTGAAAGCTGCACTGTTTGTTCATTCTAAATGCCACCTAATTTGTCAGTCCACTAGTCGCCCATTGTGACTGAAATAACGCAGGTATTGACCATATTGAAACGTTACATTAGCTTGATTGTACTTGCTATCAATCATACTGTCAAGTAATTCAAAAGGTTCGGAAAGTAATTGTATCTAAGGCAGCTAAGGTATTTTGTAGCTAAATATTTCTTACAGATACAGTAAATACTTATGTGTTGATTTCAAGTAATATCTAATTGTTAAGGAGTGCACAATCGAACAATCTAAACATTATTTTATGAGTATTTCATGCTGGTGACTTTTGAGTGCGCTGAAGTCGTCACTAGAACCTCGATAACAAGACTCTCATTAGGATTATTGAATAAGACTTGTTGTCAAGGTCGACTTCTTATCGAGGTTTGCAATAACATGTGATTGGGGCTAAAATAAAATGTAAGGGGATTAGAAAATGTCACTAGTTATAAAGGATGACTTGTTCTAGAGAGTCTTGTTATGAAGGTTCCACTGTAGTTGTTTCTCTTTTTTATGGTGAGGATTGTACGATTTTGCTTTAATCCTTGGTTATAATACTTGAGGGCGAGTACATAACCACATGAGGATTATAAATGCATTATTTTTAAGTTAAAGTAGTTTTAAAATAAGGAGCATCAAATAGCTCTCCAGATAAAAAAAACTAAACTAAAAATAAACTGTACATAACTAACCTTAAAATTATCTTCAGAGTTATAACGATGATTGAATTAATCTCAACTAAAGTATATAAAACAAAAGTTGATCACTGAAATTATAAACTTATTTATTTAATGTAATAATATTAAATGACTTATTATGATTGGCTTATACTACTTTTACCCTTACTCTAGCCATTGATGAATCTTTCCTTCATTTTTTTAATTCTCTTTCCAATTTTTAAGCCTTTATTTATTTTCTTGCTATAGTTGTTAGTTTTATTAGATTATAAGAATGGATTACTTATTCATGTATGTCTTACATCGTATAATTGTACTATACAATTTAAGTATAGGTTATTTTTTATGCATAAGTAAACCACGAAAAAACATGTTCTACTTTATTACACATCCTCCACTGACCCCTAGGTTTAACCTGGCTGAATCCATGTCAGAAGTTAAAAATAGAAGTTTTAAATATTCAAAGAGTATTTACTCGCGTCAGCTGTTGACAAATATCGACCTAGAGTACACAGGAGTCAAAGTCCTTGTCGTAGAGTAAGTCTAAGGTCAAGGATGGTTTGGTGAAGTTAATCCCCTTTTTCTTAAACCACTTGTCACTAATTTCTCATCATGTGAGAGATATTTTATTCTATAACCTTAAAATGTGTTCTATAACATTAATAAGTAAGTCAGTTGTGATGCAATCTTAACAAGGGCCTGTTATTTTAATTAAACATTTTGTAAATTAAGCTCGTCCGAGCCGTTTTTGTAAGAATCAAATTTTCCTCAATCTCATAGAATGTTTATGGGAAATTCGTCATACAAAAATCAAAATTTCTA